ATGTGAAGGTCCCAGAAAAAAAGGAGGCAAAGATACAATTATTTAAATTGTTTAAGATGAAGCAATTAAGATTATGTCATCACTTGCATATTATTATTTCATGTCTTTAATGTACATAGCAATAGATTATCTAATTGATCAACTTCTTAGACTCCTGACATAAAAATATATAAAAATAAATACACATATTAAATAACCCAATCTCTTAAATCATTTTATAATTAAAAATTTCTCTTTAATAAGACTGACACACCTTTCTTTCTCTTATTTTCAGTAAATGCCTATCAATTTACCTATTAGTATAATGGGTATTATACAGTACTTTAAATACTATTTGGCCAATATTACAATAGTATACAAATTAATGTTAGGCAAATGCAACAAGATAAGTAACCTCAAGACTTCTCAGCCTAGGAAATCAAAGGTGCTATCTGTATAGCTTTCTTTGAGTATAACTTCTGCTAAGCCAGCAGAAAAGAGAAAGAGTTGATGTAGGAATCAGTAGTCCATTATCAAATAAGCTATTTTTAAGAAAATCCTAGAAAAGTGAGAAATGAGGCCTAAAACAGTCATTTAAATGTCTTTGATTCTTCTATAATATCAGATTAAATAAGAGCAACACACATATATATATATAAAACAACATAACACATATACACATATATTATGGTTTAAATTATTAAAGAGATTAAATCTCTAATTAAAATTCATTTCTAATCAGGTATAGTCAGCACTACAGGTTTCACTGTTAATATTAAATAGTGTAAGAATTTCAAAAATATCCACTTTAACAATATGGTAAGTGATTTGGAGAAAGTATAATTTTATTTTTAATTGCACATACAATCCTCTATTACTTAGTTTTAATAGTTAATGAATATTAGAAGCTAAAAGCAACTCTTCTGTTTTTCAGTATTTTTTTATGAATACTTTTCGTGGAGGGAAGTGGTAGGACACAGAAAAGTATGTGCATTTACATTTGCTGTCTTGTAAGAGTTGAATACTTTGATGTTCCATGTTGGTGTTTAGATTCTTGTTGTAAAATAACTTTATATAAACTTTGTCATAGATTTTTTAAAAACATAGTAGGAAGTTTAAGAAAATACAGAATAGCTTTGAGATGCTGGGAAACTACTAGAGTCTACTGATCAATTTGGTATTCTGGCTGGGTAGCTTCAGAGGGGAAGAAATAAAGATCAATTACCAAATGTTAAGGCCCACTAAAACAGCAATGGTGCACTATTCTGGGAAATTTTCCAATGTGGAAATGATTTCAAGCTTGAGCCGTCTTTTTGGTCTCATCCACAATCACAAATAGCATCTCTGAATGTGAACAATGACAAGAACAAAACATCACTTTGTGGACCAAAGGATTGAGAAAGGTTTATAAAGGAATAAATACTGGGGTAGATCGATGAACAATGAGTATAACATCCTTAGATAGGAGATGCTATTATAGACATTGGAAATACCAGGAATGGAGTGTTTTCCCTAAGAGAAGTCTATTTTTTGTTTAAAAAAAATCTTCACCTGATGATATGTTCATTGATTTTAGACAGAGAGGGAGTGAGAGAAAGACACAAAGACAGAGGGAGAGACATCAATGTGAGAAAGAAAAATTGATCGGTTTTTGCACATGCCCAAACTAGGGATCAAACCCAAAACCTAGGTGTGTGCACTGACCGGGAATTGAACTTGCAACCTTTTGATTCACAGGACAACACTCCAACCAACTAAGCAACTCAGCCAGAGCAAAGCCTATTTTCTACCCAATATCATATCTATATATTATATGTATTTTAGAAACAAATGTATGTACTGAAAAAGTGTAATTCATGATTTGAACCAATGGCTCTCAAACTTTAATGTTCGTAAGAGCTGCTCAAAGGACTTGTTAATTTGGGGTGAGGCCTCATGAATTTGCCCTCTAATATGTTTGATGCCTCTGGTCCCAGACAACGTTTTGAGAACCACTGGTTTAAACAAAGTTTTTTCACTTTTCTCTGGGGGAAAAATACTTTAATGTTGTCATAGAGCTCTTGATCCTTAATTTTAACTCTAATCACTCTCAGTATGTGAAGTAATCATAATTGGCAATAGAAGAACACAATACAAGGAGATCTTTTGTAATAAAAAAAGTGCTAGTTGTTATAGACAAAAGTTATAAGTTAGAAGATTCCCTTTTACCTGTGTGACCTCTAAGACTGTTTTATATTCTCTGTTTTTAAATTATATAGATACCACTTCTCTGGAATGCAGGGTCTTAAGCTTTCACCTTCATTTTCAAATTCCATTCCTACTCCAGAAAACATTACTCTATTTCCAACAAACTAAATTTGTTTTTTTAAAGTCAATAAGGAAATGCTGATGTGTTGTTTTTGTTTTTCAAACAGATAAAAATAAATATAGTTAAATGAATTCTCTTTTAGAGAGGACATATTTGGTTTTTAGGGGAAAAGGGCAGGAGATGATGGACTTATAACTGTACTGACAATAGTACAAGGAAATAAAATTGCGGAATGAAATAGTTCAATATTTAGTAGGATTTACTTCTGGGTTTTCTCCAGACATTGCAGGTCAAATGAAAGATATAAGGAAATCCTTTCAGGCCTCACAAACTAGACTTGGCACTATAAACCATATTAAGGCCTATTATGCAACACACCTGTTTGCAAATAACTATAAATAGGTAATCTAAGGTTAATCTGGGCAATACACAGAGACCTCCAAGTCTGAGGCTGAAGAAAACATGCAACAACTCTATCATGCTTGTGGGAAATATGAAATCCTAGGACGGTGATAGTAGTTTGTATGATGAATTTGATTTAATCAGCATTTGTTACTGACTTATGCATTGATATAACAGAGCATTTCCATATTACAAGGCTCCTGCTTACACATTATTCTGTATTCACAAAGTATTCACTTTGAGTGTTTTCTGCTTAATATTAAAATTTGAAGAAATCTGGTAATGAAGAAGTAAGTTATTACAGCAAGTTGTATTATTGCTGTTATAAGGATCAGACTTGCTGCAACAATGAACCAAGAACTCTAGGAATAAATTGTCTGTGGGCTATCTAAATTAAAGTTTAACTACATCTCTAAATAATCCTAGATAAGGGAATAATTTTCATTTGACAAATGCAGAATACCAACATTGTAGCAGACACTGTACTAGGCACTAGAGAGCGATGGTGAACCCATGTCTAGACTTTGTGGATTATAAATTAGTAAGAGATACATGTTCACGAGAAGTAAATTATACATCAAAGATGCTAAATAGAGGCATAATCATAAATGGTCTGAAGGTGGAGATGGAGTGGCACCATAAGGTGTGTGTGGCACAGGAAGATACATGGTTAATGGCATTTTTGCTGTTCAACTACTTCCTCACAAAAATAGCCCTTGTTCCTGTTTATTAACAAAGTACTTATTAAGAGAGTTTTATTTAAAAATGAACTGTGGTCAACTTTAATGCAGAGGAAGAAGAGAGAAAAAGCCTCAGAACTCTGAAAAATTTCTATAGCAGAGGGGAGGAAGTTAAAACATTAAGAAATGAAGAAAATGAAAAAGGCCATAGCAGTTGTTTAATTTTCCTCATTTAACCATTTCTACTTATTTTGCTTATGGTAAGATATTCTCATATGCTAAAATTTCTGCTTGGAATAATTGAAAGCTAGTCCTGTAAAATTGTAATATGACCCCATCACAGTTAGGAGTGCCCTGGGACCAGGCAGGGAGCCAAAGAACTCGTGACCACCAGCTCTAATCCAAAAGACAGATGAATAGAGATTTTGCAGTTAACAGCTAAATGCCCACTGGACATGCATTTATATTTTAAATCCAAATAAAGTTCTTGAGTTGAATGGCACTCCACCTTAGCAGCAATTTTGTCTTGTTCGTAAGTTATTTTAGTGGTTTCAGATTTGACATTGCTTGCATGTTCTTTCATGGATATATTAATTAAATACTTGCTCATAATCAGCTATGATGGGAAACTACCTTGGGCTTCAAGGATGTTGTAACCAATTCGAATTCACCTTTTGTGACCTGTAAATGAAGGTAGCCTATGATGACTGCTAACACATCTGAAAATCGAAACTGAATAGAATTCAAGTTATGCAAATCTACCCCTGAGCTGGAGACACACAGAGAAAGATAGTGAATAGGAAAGCCCCAGAACACTGGCACAAAACTTACAGTACTTATGAGAAGACACACTGCCTTTTATGTATATTACCACTCACTCTTAAAAGTATGAGCAGCTTGTTTACTGACTAGGTTCACGGGGGCAGCTTTTTCCGAGCTCTCCTGACCCTGTGTCTCTTTTCCTCTTTTCACTTTTCTATCCCTGTTCTTGAAAAACCTTTCCTTCTGGTCATGGTCTATGGGATGTTTACTCAAGCCAGGAGAGATTTGCTTGGTACACCGCCTTCACCGATCATAAGTACTCAATTTGTTGAATGAACACGCCCACATGCCCAGCTAGGCCAAGAAAGTGGGCTCTGCGAGAAGATATTCAGGAAGGTGGAGAAAAAGCTCAGGCCACACAGGGAAACGCGTGGGCCCTGTTGGTGGAGAAACTTGCTCAAGATACAATTTTGAGAAAAATCCTTGGCTCTTCAGGTAAATTGGTGAGCACTCTCCACAAACGCCTCCATAGAGTTAATCCGTGGGAAAGCACCCCCGAAGATGCTCCAACACGGAGAGACCCTGTTCCGGAAAGCGGCATAAATGATCCGTCCAAGGAAAGGATTCCACCCCCAGCTCCCGCTCCACCATCGTGGGTGCCAGCGGGCCACATTGCAGTGACAGTACAAACTCAGGGAAGGGGGTGAGGACGCTGTTACTGCTCTCGCGGGGTCTGTCCCAACAGTTGCTGTCTGCAGGTCCCCATCAAGACATCGCGTTGTTTGGGCCTGAGGGCGGAGCTATCCCAGAGGGGGCGGAGCCGGAATGGGGCGTCCCCAGGCCTTGTTGACTTCAGCGTCCTCACCAAGCAGCCCGAGCGGCTGCGTTTCTCTGCGCATGCCCAGGTCTCCGACGGCTCCCCAGTCCCCGTCTGTCCGGCTTCCTCTGCTGCTGGTCCCGGCGCCGCCCCTCAACACGGCGGCGGCGGCGGCTGCGGCGGCGTCGTCCGCGGCCGTGTTGTGGCGGTGGAGGCGGTCAGCTGCTGCGGAGCTCGCTAAGTCCTCGTGGCTGACCCTATGCTCTGCTGCGGTGGGCCCTACTGACCGCCTCAGCGCAGGTAATACAGCCGCCCGTAGGCTCCAGGTCTTGTGGTTTGGCTTGTCTGGAGTGCTCCGGTGGGGTGGGCTGGAGGGAGTCAAGGGAGGTTGGGAGTTTGGCTTTGGGGAGTTGTGGGGGGAGTGTCAAGGGAGTCTTTGGGTTCGAAGGGGCTGGGAGGCCGGGGAGGATGGTCCTTCGGCTCTGTCTGGCTTCGGACCACAGGCTTCGTGTCGCTGCAGTTCTAAGACACGCGCGGGCCCTTTAGGGCCTTTTCAGATCTACCCCGTGACTTACTGTTGTTTTGATTTTGAAGAAAGAGAATCCAACCTATGTAGCCTCGGGGAAACCTTGGGGGCAGGGCCTTGGAAGGGATTTAAGAGGCTAGGGCCGGCCCCAGCGTTTTCTTACTTTCTGTTTTGTTTGTTTGCTAGAGCTTTTACTACTGTTTAAGTATGGTGCCGGTCTTTAGGGTATTTCAGACACCGGCGTAGAGGATCTGAGAGTAGGAAAGCCAGAGGGAGTAATTTTGAAAATCCAATATATATATATTATTAACTTGTATTGTTTTTATATGTCCTTGTTTTAAAGTTAAGAAATCAAAACTATATTTTTAAAATTACAAATTAGAAGAATTTGGGTACAAAGGAGAAAGTGTGGTTTTACCAATAGTTATTTTCTCCCAATTATTATTATTATTATTATTATTATTATTATTTTAAACTACAGAAGTTTTGTGTGTTTTTTTTAAGAAAAAAATCTAGCAGCCATCCAATGAAGATATCACTTCCACCTTAGCATTCAGGATTTTTCTGTGCATATAAGAAGTATGTTTTAAAATCAAAATTGAGAACTTAGTGTGATTGTTATTAGCCAATAATATTCGCTGATATTCCTTCATTTTATTACCTAACTTCGTTCTTTTGAAAAGCTGCATAAGTCTGTATTTATTTTTGTTTTTGAACATTGTGTCCAATTTTTCTCTAATATTTTAGCTTTTAAATGGCTTTGAAAGAGGGTTACAAACCAGTATTTTGAAACATAATGTGGTAAAACTTTCAGAACGTCTAAGGCCAGATGGGGATACTTATTGTACATATTAGGCAAGTTGAGTAATATGTTTCCACAGAGCTTGATGGTAGTTTATGTGAGGCTTGGATGACTTTATCAAGCAGGTTACTAAAATAGTTTACCTTTTGTTTTTAAGTGTATTTTTGAAAGTAAATTTAAATCCCATATGGTCAGTTGAAAACAGATTTAATTCGTTAAACACAAACTGGCTCATTTGTGAAGAAGAGGTGAAGTGGAAGGCCAGAGAAGTTTGTATTTCAGGCAGTTTAAAAAGAAATTCAGAAAACAGCCAGGGATTAAGTATTTTGATAGTAAACCACAGGGAGTAAGCCATTAATGGAAGGATGATAACTATACTGCTTATTATTAAATAGACAGAAAGCTAGGAACTCCCTATTACAATTTGTATTTCTCTGTGCAGAAGAGCTGGAGGCTTTGTTGATTTAATCACCAAATTGTATTTATTAAATATACTGTGTGTTCATCTTGGTGCTAGCTTCCAGGGAAAACATAGAACTGAGTAAGATAATCACAAAGAACATTCTGGTTCTAAACATGTGTAGTCTGAACTCTTAGGCTCATTTGTGTAGTATTTTATTATTTGGGGAACTGTTTTTAACAGGAATCAAAAACATCCATGGCATTTTAGTTATCGTTGCTGGTATGCTCTTGGCACAACATCATAGGAGATATTGTCCCTATTCTACAGATTGATAAACAGAGGCTCTGGGGGATTAAACTGCTCAAGATTCCATTGCCTTTTTAGTGGTAGTGACTGCATTAGACTGAGGCATGCTTAATCTAAAACCTGTGTTTTCTGCTCTTCCATGCTGCTTCTGATTCATGAAGACTACCTTAGAAATGTCTTTTTTTGGTTGGAAATGTTCCTTACATAATAGAGACATGTATATAATCATACACATTGAAAAAGATTCCAAAGGATAGTGTGAAACTCAAATGATCATTTTAGATGAGGTTTCTGGTGGTGTATTACATTAAATTCCCTGAGCTGATGCCATTAACCAAGAAGATGGAGGATTGTGTTACTTTAGTCACTCTGCTTTAGACTTGCCTTTTGTTGTTAGTCTCTTTGATACACTCTTTACGAGGCCCTCTTTTTGGTATCCTGAATCAATAGATTCAAAATTAAACTGTTTCCTTTGCAAATTTAATAATTCTTCCCTTATTTCCTTGTTAATGACCTTAACTATTTTCTTAGGCTCAAAATCAAAGATCATATTTAATTCTTCACTCTCCCCTTTTCTCAGTAGTTTTTTGTCATTTTAGTACATTGTAGTACTTGATTCTCCTTCCTCTTCTCCATTTTCCCAGCCCCTACATAAGTACTTTTAATTCCTTTGCCTCAATTACCATTAACAGGAGACATCCCTAATTTCTAGGTTTTGCTCTTCATCATGCATACTTTAATCAAATTAATTGTCCTAAATGCAACTTTGATCATGTATTAACTAACAGAAATCAACAAAACAGAAAAACCCCAAACACAAATTATTTCTTATGACAGTCATTGTCCTGAATGCCTTGTTCTCATTTGGTCCTCGTAATAATTTGATGTCATAGATACTACTACACAACTTTACAGGAAAAAAATAATAAGACTTCATGAGCCTAAAGGCATTGCTGGTACGTAGAAGAAGTAGAAAGTGAATTCCAAGTGTGTTTCAGCGTCCAAATCTGTGTTCTTGACCATTGTGCCTCCCCTGAGTGGCTGCAAATCTACTGTGGAGTAAAGTCCTTGTTCCTCAGTGTCTACTTTCAAAACAGCGTTATTTGGCCCCAGGGCTCCTTTTCAAATTTATGTCTTGTTTTATTCAAACTTAAGTTTACACATGTAAAAATCTAGCTTCTGTAGCATATTTTCTTAGAGCTCCCTCTTCCCTGTCTCCTCTCATGTAGTTTAACCTCTTGATAACTTTCTACTCTGAATTTGTTTTTCAGTACTCTGAGTAGTAATTGAATTATAAAATGCCTGAAAATAGAAACTATGTCTTCTTACTGTACCTCCCAATGGATGCTCAGGAAATATATGTGAACAAATATGAAAATAATCACTGATCATCTGCCCGTTTAATGACATTTAAGTAGTATTTGATTTTAGTTGGTAGATGACACACACAGTTGTTTATTGGAATTTTTAATTGTGTATATATGTAACAATTAGATTTTTTATTGCTGTAGGCTATCAGATGAGAGCTTTATTTTGAGAATGATTACTAAATAATTATAAGTTTTTTATTTAAAAAATTCAGTTTTGTTTTTCTATATGCCTGTCTTGAGTAATTATATATGAAAATTCTTAAAATGAATGGTTTGACATTGAGTTCTTTTCCATGCTGTTGAGTTTTTACATGAACTACAGCATTCTCCTTGAACTACAGTGTTCTCATAAGCTCTCTGGCCTCACAGTTTCTTCTGTACTCATATGGATATGAAAGAATAAAAGTATGCCTAGACTGCAGTGTTATTGTATTCCTTTTGGTGATATTAGGAAACTCCAACTATGTGGTCATCTAATATGCCCTCACACAAATTATATGTAAGTCTGCTTCCTAAAGATTGATGTGAAATGTCAGACTTAACATGAATCTATCAGTTAATGGTTTCCATGCAGAGGCTACAATTATATATTTTTCTTATATCTGCCTTTGCAGCCTATATTCTATTACAATTTATCCATTTACTAATTCTTGCTTTATTAAATAAAAATGTAATCCTTGCTGTTAGCAATTGAGAATGTAGGATATCTTGGTGATGAGGGAAACATTTGAGGGGTTTTTTTTGAATGTCAAATTCATGATTATAAATGAGTAAGATTGATTCTCAGACTAATGATTTTGTCCGTTTGCTCTTAACTTTATAAGATATTAAAGTAATCACATACTTCTGAACATAAAAGTTTTAAGCAAGTTTAAAATAATTCATTGATTTTAAAATTTGGTGATATTTAAAAAACAGGTAATGAAGTTAAAGTGGTACAGAAAGTTTTATAAACTGAAAATATCTCCTCCTTAGTCTCCCACTTTCTCCACTGGGATGTAGTCATTCTTCTCTGGAATGATAAAAAGAAACTATTTGTATAAAAGTAAATGTGAATAAATATCCTTTTTCTTTAAACTTACATAAAGATGAGGTATGCTGCAGTTTCTCGCTTGCATTTGTCACTCACTGTGTCTCTAATATTCCATATGAGATAAAGAACTTAATTATTTAAAAAAAATTTTGTAGCCTCAAAGTATCTGTTATATATACTATTATATATCTGCTGTATATAATATATTTAACCGTATTATCTATTGGTGGTCATTTAGATTGTTTCCAGTTTTTTTTACAATTACACCCATTGAGGCAACACTATGAAGGAAGAGAAATAAAAAGTAGATCTTTTCTTGTAGAGGAAAATAAAGTTTGAAAGCTGAAATGAATATTTCTTTGGTGGGGGATGAAATGGATTCCGTTTCTGGCCTGATGATTAATGGGTAAGTGAACAAAGAGAAGAATGGAAATGTGGAAGGTGCTTGCTAGAATCCATAGTTGGCAATTGAGTTGGAAGAGTAGGGGGATGTTCGTGTGTTTGGTAGTATCTCCTGTGACCAGTTGTCTGCTCTAGGCAAGGGTCAGCCTAGAAATTCTCTTTAGAAGTTCTGTGCTTAGAAAGGATACTAGCTGTCTGGAAATTGGTCTCTGGGACTGTGGTCTATAATATAATAGTATAATTAACTTAGGAAATCTATTCTGGGGAGGAACTAAGATCCCTAAGTATCACCTAGAAGGAAATGTCATGGCCTACAATGCAATATATTTTCTGTTAATTTTTGTAGTATGTGTTCAAAGATATGATTTAAACTTCGAAATAAATGAAGCTAAGCAAATTCTTCCTTCAGCAAACTACTCCCATCCACATCTGTTCCTCATGGGTTGCTTGGTTAATGG